GGAGTAGGCATAGCCATCTCCAACCGACTTCAACCTTCAGTAGCAGAGGTGTCTCCAGTCAATGAGCATACTATGACATTGAGACTGAAGCATGCTTTTGACTTTGTGTCTCTTATTGCTGTGTACGCTCCTACCGATGTATGTAAACTCGATGTGGAAGAGGTGTTCTATGCCAAGCTCACATCTGTGGTAGACAAATGTCCCCGGCAAGACATTCACATTGTACTGGGCAACTTCAATGCAGTATCCAGCTGTGATCGAGCTGGCTACAAGATGTTTGTCGTTCCCACTGACTCGGGAGCTGATCTCAGTAGCGAGAACAGTCTCCTTGGACTTTGCTGAAACCCAGAGAATGAGGATTTCTGGCTCCTGGTTTCAGTGCTCCAACCCGCAACACGGGTATTGTGGCCAAGGAGATCGACCACATCCTTCTTAACACTCACAAGAGGATCCTTTAGAGCTGCAGGGTTTACAGGAGTGCCGAGTTCTGTCACTGACCATAGATTGGATGGATCATCTCAGATCACGGGGTTCATAAATGTTGGGCTGAGTATTTTGGGCATTTATATCAAGCAGACACCCCAGTACTTTGTCTAAATGCAAGCAATGTAGCAATCCCTGCGCCTGACCCACCCATCAGTAAAGATCCCCTACCCTGACTGAAATTAGAGAGGCAGAAGGAAGCTGAAGAGTGGGAAAGCTGCTGGAATATGCGATATCCCTGCTGAACTGCTTAATGCTGGGGGTGAATGGCACAGGACTTGCATACAGTCCTGGCTGCAATCAAGCAGTCCAGTTCTATCCCCCTGACCTGTTGAGGGGCGTGGTCATCCCTCTCTAGAAGCGGAAAGGGGATAATTGGGACTGTAGTAACTTGCATGGCATCACATTGCTCAGTATATCAGGCAATGTATTTGCCCACAATCTTCTGAAACGGATCTGCAGCTACCCAATAAGGCACCAAAGGCCGGAGCAATATAGATTCATTCTGGCAAGTCCACAATAGACCGTTTCCTAGCACTTTGCATTTTTGTAGAACGATGTCGTGAGTTCAGGCATGGACTATTCCGGAATTCATCGACCTCGAGAAGGCGCTTCAGTCAGGGAATTGTGTATCGTTTTGGCAGATCCTGAGCCTTAGGGGAATTCTGGCACGGATTATTGGATTAACAGCAAACCGATGTTCTGTCACTGAAAGTGCTGTAAAGTGTGGTGGGGACCTGTTAATGAAGGCTGTGCCCTTGCACCAAAACTTTTCAACACTTGCATGGACTGGATTATGGGCAGAACTACTATCCAAAGTCAGCGTGAAGCAACAATGAGCAATATCAAAGTCACGAAGATGTTGTGATTCTGTTTGAGTGTCTGGAATCTCTAGTAGCGGCTCTTGATGCATTCAGCAATGAAGCAAAGCCCCTGGGCTTACAGGTCTCCTGGACCAAGACCAAGATCCAGGATTTTGGGGGCCTGCTAGGAGAACCTATTCAGCTGATACATTCTTGTGGTGAGGATGTTGAAATTACAGAGTTTTACATACCTTGGTAGTGCAGTCCATGTCTCTGGGCTGTCAGACCAGGAAGTCGGTAGACGGATTGGTCTGGCAGCAGGAGCCATAAACTCAGTCAACAAGAGCATTTGGTGTCAGTACCTATGCAAAAGGACTAATTTACATATGTTTAAGGACTTGATACTGCCAGTTTTGCTCTATGTGAGCGAAACCTGGTTGCTATATAAAGTCTAGTAGTTTTTACATGATGCCTTTTATAAAAATTCCCTACTCCAGATCATGAGTTACAATTGGCACTGGCAACTCGGGCTCTACAGGCACCTAGCTCGTTGCCCTGTCGATGACCCAGCCCTTTCGGTTGTCTCTTTATGAGACAATCTTGTATGGAGGAGGCTAATGAGAAAACCTAAGATGTCGTGTATATATATATATATATATATATATATATATATATATATATATATATATATATATATATATACTACACACACACACACACATATATATATATATATATAATATATATATATATATATATATATATATATATATATAGAGAGAGAGAGAGAGAGAAGAGAGAGAGAGAGAGAGAGAGAGAGAGAGATGTGTATATATATATTTATATATATATATATATATATAATATATATATATATATATATATATATATATATATATATATATATATTAATGTATATATATAATATATATATGTATAATATGTATATATATGTGTATATATATATATATATATATATATATATATATATATATATATATATATATATATATGTATGTATGTATGTATATATATATATATATATATATATATATATATATATATATATAATATATATATATATATATATTATATCGTGTATGCATATACATATATTCATACAGACACATAAAAACATATATATATATATATATATATATATATATATATATATATATATATATATATATATATATATATATATATATATATATGTTTTTTTATGTGTGTCTGTATGAATATATGTATATGCATGCACGAATATATAACTTGCTTTTCGAATATATGTATTATATACTACTTGCGTAGTTGTGCGCCTGGATGTATGCACGGACATATTAGTGAATGTTTGCGCTATAATACTTGTAAAGTTTTTAGATAAATTTGCAATGTTTTCTTATTGTCTAGTAAACGAAAGTTTCACCCGAATAAGAAAAATCTTTTGTCAGTTGTAATCAGAGCAACTGGCCTTTGTTTCTTCACAAAAATACAAATATTTTCTACGACCCTCACCTTTTTCTTTTCCTCCTTTTCCTTTCTTTGCCCCTCTTCCTTCTCTTCCTTCTCCTCTTACTCCCTCTATTTTTTCTCGTGTTCCTTGTCTTTTTGTTGTTTACCTTACTCTTTTTCTTCCACACCCTCCTCCTTCTCTTTCTTTTCTTTCACTCGCCGAGAGAGAGAGAGAGAGAGTCAGAGGAGCGAGAGAAAGAAAGAAAGAAGAAGGAGAGGAAGAATTAAGAGAGAAGGAATAAGGAGATAAAAATGAGATTTACATAACTCCGAGGTTCCTTTGGACACTTCTTGCTGGAGGACCCTGGGAGGCCACTTCTCCTGCTCTATCTGTTATTCCTGACGTCCCGAGAGCCCTTGAGAGGTCCTGGCCAGACAACAGTGTAGCGAGCATGAAACGTACATTCCAGGGTGTCTTTGCTGGCGAGTCAGTGCGGTTACTGGGCATGGGGGGGGGGGGGGAGGGCTGGAGGGCGGGGGCAGAGAGGCAGATGAGGTGGGAGGGGGTACTGGAAACGAGATGAGGGGAGGGGCAGAGGAGGAGGGAAGGGGGCAGAGAAGCCGAGAAGGAGTGGGAGAGGAGGGGGGGTGAGTTTACTTGCGGCATTTCCCAAAAGATAAGAAGTTATTCGGCCTGCATTAATCCCCCCTCCCCCCCCCCCACCCCTTTTCAAATGAGAGGGAGAGAAAGCGTAAGGAGGCAATGCCTCACTTGTGGCATCTCTTAAGAAATGCTTCCACATAGGGGTGAATCTAGGTCAGTCGAGGGGAAGTTTTTTGACCCGAGGGCGGAGGCTAGCTGATTCAAAGACATTCGCTCGAGATCTACAGCCGACGGCCACCGGGTACTGGCAAGGAGTGATTATATATATATATATATATATATATATATATATATATATATATATATATATATATATATATATATATATATATATATAATATATTATATATATATATTATATATATATATCTATTGATTGAAATATATATATACTTGCTATTTTTTTCATTATCATCATTATCTTTGTGACTATACTCAGTAGTATTAGCTGGTAATCTATTAACATTATTGTTGCTGTTTTTATTGCTATCATTATCAATTTTATTGTTACTGTTATTATTATTATTATTATTATTATTATTATTATTATTATTATTATTATCACTTTTATCATCACTAATATTATCATTATCATCATTATTGTTATTATTATCATTATCATTATCATTATTTTTAAAGTTATCCGTAACTTTATTACTGTATTTTTTTCATTAGTGTTATTATTGGTATTATAACCATTATTGTTATTACTTTTAAATGATTATTGTTATCATTCTAATAATCATTATTGTTCTTGTTGCTGTTGTTGTAATTGTTTTTTTTTCTTCTTATAATTATTGTAGTTATTATTATTATCATTATTGTTCTTATAATTATTATCATTGTTGCTGTTGTTGTTTTTGGTATCAGTATTTTCATTATTGCTATAATGATAATGATAATAATGTTAACAGTTTTTATCATTATTATTATCTCATCATATTTGATTACTATTATTATTGTTTTATTACCATTACTATTATTACTATTATTGATAATATTATTATGTTCGTTTATTAGTATCACTCTCATTTTTGTTATTATCATTATTATTTTTTGTTATCATTATTTTCATTATTATTATTACCATTATTTGATTTTGTTATTATTATTATTATCATTACTAGTATTATTACTTATATGATACATTTATGATTTATTATCTTCAGTATTGTCATTATTGCTATTATCATTATTTTCATTATCATTGCAAATAACATTATTATCATTACTATCATTAAAAAAAGAAGAAAAAAGAACATGCAGTTAGTGCCTGATTCCTACACATAGCTAGGACTTTCTTATTTGACGAAATATTATTATACATAATACGAAATAATACGAAATATTAATATTATTGGACGAAATATCATTATACGAAATATTATACAAGGAGACAGATAAACAAAATTTGAAAAAAGGAAAACGGAAGACTATCCAGAGCGCCTTTGGAATCGCGTCTCTGGAGTTTCTTGAGCCTGACAAACGCCACTTCCGGGAGTTGATGCTTGCAACTAAAAAACCCGAGAACGGAGGGAAGAAGACGAAAAAATATGTAAGGAAATGAGGAATTGATAGATGAAAAATAGTGAGAAAAAAAGAGCCATGATTTATAAATGCATCAAAACAAAAAAAAAAAAAAAAATGAATCTGTTAGGTTAGGGCGTGTTTGAAGGAATAAAATAATATTGAATGAATGAATCAGTAGTCTGCTGTTGTAGATAATCCCATTCACCGCCTGTGTAGGTATGCTATTTATTTACCGTTTTATGCACGAATAAATAGAAAAAAAGATATATTTTTTAGTATCTATTCAGCTTTTATTTATTCATCTATTTTATCCCAGTCTCTCTCTCTCTCTCTCTCTCTCTCTCTCTCTCTCTCTCTCTCTCTCTCTCTCTCTCTCTCTCTCTCTCTCTCTCTCTCTCTCTCTCTCTCTCTCTCTCTCTCTCTCTCTCTCTCTCTCTCTCTCCTTCCTCTCCTTCCTTCCTCCTTCCTTCCTTCCCTCCTTCCCTCCCTCCCTCCCTCCCTCCCTCCCTCCCTCCCTCCCTCCCTCCTC